TGAAATTAAGCTGAGGGCCAGATGTTTTCCATCTGTGTTTTAGAATACACTGAACACAAAATCTAGAGAGCGCCCGTATGACTGAATGGTTTAACTTTTTATTAAAAAGTCAGGTAACAGGTAGCTACTGCCTTAGACTTTGGGTGATTTTAGTATATTTTTTGATGTTAGAATTTTGACAAACAATGAAAAAAATTAGATGAATAATTTTTGAAGTAAAAAACCCTCCCACTTCATAAATAGGCAGCCTGAATCTTCATAACGCTGAAACAACTTTTGAAAAGTGAAAGCTGTAGATTTTCCATATATCAAACTAGGAACTTGATTTATTTCCCCTGACTTGAATTTTGGTATTAGGTACACAACCAAAATATATTAGTTAATATGGTTTATTATGTGTTGTGCAGAAACTACTGCAGTTCATATGCATGGACTAAATTAAGAATTAAGTGCCAAATACCCCACTGGGGATTACGCTTCAGCATAATCACTAAAGGCATGGAAGGAAAAGTATATAAAGTCTAGGAAGGAAAGTCATCAAAATGTCAGCATGGAAATATATACTATATCAATCATCACATGCAAATCTACAATTGGTAGTAAGTTGTAATAGTAAAACTGAAACTACTGAAAAAAGTTGTGATGGCCCATAAGCTATTTGATTACATCTTTGTTGAACAGTATAACTTATTCGTTATAGTAAGGAACATTATGTAAGCCATTTTACAATGTCCATAAACTAATCTGAAACACTGAAGATTCTTTAAAAACAATCAAGGGGAGGAGCAATTGACACAAAGATCTTACGCAAAAATGTGTTGAGTCTGAACATCACCAGAGAAAAGTGTACTGTTTATGTATATTGGATACCATATCAATCAGGTTACCATTATGGTGGCCTAATAATGAAATGTGTCCTTCTGGTGTATTAATCTAAATATAGATTTCATTGCCATCATACATCTTTCTATCCAGATTTTTTCCTTTTTTTTCCTGGTTCGTCAAACTATGCCGGCACACGTCCATATTTCAAAGCTTCCCTTGGTTTCGTACTCTTTTAAAGTTCCCCTCTATCATGCAAACCAGAGGTAGGTAATGATATCTGACAGAACATTGATATTACTTGTTTTGAGTAGCCCTCAATTTGGGATATTAGCAAACATCATTCCGTTTACTAGAAAAACAGAGCTTGAAGGTTGAATTTGATTCCACAACATGAGATTATTTCCCAGTGAGACATCGTCAATTTACTTCAACTTTTCAATATTTAATGTGAAGAGCTAAGGCAAATAAAAATGGTTTGCAATTTTAGAGCCCTAAACAGCTTACTAGCATGAATTTGAAGTTATTTCTACCGCTATCATAACATTCTGTGAAACTCTCATGGCAGAACCCAAATAAATGGGAAACACTAACGGTGCAGTGTTAAATGGATTTCTTAAAACCCCACAGAATTAGAACAGACACAGTGCAAATCAGGGTGAAAAACCGCCTTTTCTACACATATCATTGTTTCAAATAGGTTTCTGCAAGAAGCGTGCTCATCAAGCTTAGTTTTTAAATTGGTATGTCTTGTTAGATTGACTTACAGCAAAATAATTTAAAACAATATACATAATATGTTTATAAGATTCAAATTCTAACTGAAACTACACTAATACAGTAAATGATAGTTATATTTTCTTTAACATAATTTACTTCCACTCATTACCAGAACTATTACAAATTAGTGGTCAGCTAAAGGTAAATTTGCACAATTTTCTCTTGAGAAAACTATGGAGTATTGTTAACAAGTTCAGGAACACACAATTCCAAGTTACCTAAATAATTGCTAACTCAATTTCTCCATGTTTCTAAGTTCTTGATCAAAATGGTTCATTTATCAATTGAGGGTTAAATTTAAAATAATCATATCACACTAATTTTAGAATTTTCTAAAATATACTTTGTTATATTTTTGCATGCTACTAAAACAGTTACTTAAAAATGTACTTGAGACCATCATTAACATATTTTCTTCAATTAGTTTTTTAAAACTTAATTGAATTGGGTGCTCAGGTTTTTAAGCCTTGAATATAGTTGGTAGATTAAACTTTTTTTTAAGTTAGCAAAACTCTAAATAAAAAATAAATTTTAGTTTACATTTAATAGCAATGTTTCTGAACTTTAAACTTGAATTTTACTGAATTTTCTGCTAACTGCTTAATTATATATCACTTATACATATTATTTCTGGCATATTGATTTATTTTAAATACTTTTTAAAGTTCTAAGTGGTATCGGTTGTAGTTTTATGAAACAGAGCATGCGGTAGCAGTTCAAATTTTAACAACTTATAAAATCTAATACATTTCTGCACTGTCAAACTTCTATTTCTGATTTATTAGCTTATTTTTCAGTATAAACATGAAATGGTTTCCTACACTTGGATAATAATATCATATCATTGTGGCTTCCTGGCTTCCACTTGGATAATTTGTTCTAAAGTAATTGGAACACAAATTTGAAGTGGCACAAGGAAAGTCTTTCAGCTGTACCAAGTTAGCCGAGAAACTGTACAGAAGTTTGCAGATTTAATTAAGTAAAAACATAAGAAAGTTACTTTGTCATCAAATGACTGCTCTGCTTTTAAATATTACATATATCCTATTTTTAGATAAATTCCATGTACTTTATCTAGTTCTCCTCTTAACAATCGTAAAGATAAACTTACAGGGAAACTTTATCTTCAACACTTTATCTGTTTAGATACTAGATGATCATGGCTGTCAATAACAGCTAGCAGACTCATTTCAAACTTGCCACTTTTCTTTTTCCACCAAGGGCATTCTCTTTTGAATGAGAGAAATCACTTCAAATTTTCTGAGTATAAGCCCTTGGGTCTTTCCACTCTTCCCTACTATCTGCCAAAAAATCTTTCCTGGCTCTGAAGTCCTTCCCAGGGCATGGCTTAGATGTGAGTTTCTGTAACTCTTCATAGAAATGATTCTCAAGAATCTTGATTTAGATTAAGATTACACACTTAGATGCATATTAGTGTAACTGTGTAGCAACTTTCTTATTACTATTGCTTGCAAAACCATCACACCCTTGAAAATTTAGCTAACCAAACTGCCCTTCCCAGGTAAAGACCTCTGAAGACTCACATTCCAATCTGTCATTAAATAGTTCCAAAATCTCTAATGAGAGCAACTGGTTCTAAGGCATATCTCCACAATGACTCTAATTCTCTTTTACTACCTTGTCTCAAGTTAAGAGTAAAATGCTATTTCTTAGGAATATAAAAGTAATTTCATCTCTGTTATGTTGATGTTTGTGTTTTACTTAATTCTGTAAGTCTCAAGCACAACCCTCCTAGTTCTTAAGAATTTACCATTCGGTTTGACTTCAAACAAAAGGAAAGGTAACAACAGTTTGTGAAATCCTATCAATTTATATACACTTCGGCTACCATGAAAAGACTATTCAGTTCCACTGAAATCTGGCATTAGTGATGCTACCTTAACGTATTAACAAATGTTCTTTGATAATTTTCTTTCTTTGATAATTCTAAATCAGAAGATTAAGATTTGTTTCAGGTTTAAAAACTCAAATACTAGCAAACATCAGGGAGCCAGTTGAGTTGAGACACTTGAAAAAACAATTGTAAACTTTTTTAGAGACAGGTGAGAAACCTAGATATGAGTATTCCTGGCTCCTCCCTGAGCAAATATTGGTCTACTTCAGTGATTAAAAAATATAAAATCCCAAGATACAAAATGGAACTAAACTTCCAGGCCAGGCCAGAAATCCCTAAGTGGCTATTGTGAAGCAAGACTTAAGATTTTCACAGCGCGATGATTAAGAAGAAAACAAGCCAGACAACGGGGCTGAGGTGACGGCTTTTCCCGGGGTAAAGACCAACGTTGAGGGAGCCCCCCCACCCCCACCTCCACCCCGCCCCGTTTCTCTGTAACTCTCCCAAATCTCATCTGTGAACAGATCCTTGTGTCTACAGTTCCTCTCCAGACACCAGCATAACCCGCTACCAGGAGGAAGGAAGGCTCTAGTGTGACCTCTGTTCCTACAGTACCACCAAAAGGAAAGCCACGGAATTCGCCAGATAAAAGAACGTGCACTGTAGGTGCAGCAGGTATTAAACTTTTAAGAGAAGCCCGACAGTCTCTGCTCAAGTCCTAAGGCCGCATGATCTCTCCTCTTTACCACAAATCTGACCCTGCCCTCCTTCCTCCGTCCATGTACCCAACACACTTGCCCAGACCCTTCCAAACCAAAGAAACCTCCATACAGGCCAGCCTACGGGAACCATCTTCGTGGTGAAACCTGACCGCTTTAGAAAGCCTCCCCAAGAAGAAAAGATCAAATGAGACTGGCTCAGCCGGGTCCCGAGGTGACCCCGGAGTTAACGTATTTATTTTCAGGCTGCAACTGCTGATTGCTTTACAGAGACATTTCATGCTGTAGCTCTGCATGGAGCTGAGGACAAAAGTAATATTTTTATTAATGTTATAATTATTATAATTATTCTTTAACAAAGCTATTTAAATAACCTGTACAAAGCCCGGCCCGGTCCTAGTAAAAAAACGAAAAACAAAAAACAACAAACCAAAACAAACCCCCCCCCCAAAACCGAGCACTATTTCAAATCTCCCAAGGTCCTTCTGCTTTAATTCAGCAGTGCCTCCTATATACAAGGCCAGCCCAGTGTGGTTCCCCAAAACTGTAGATCTCCCAGACGGTGGGAATGGTTCAGAGCTTGAAACCGCCCTTGCGTGACGCAGAGCTCCCAACCCTACCTCCCCTGCTTCTCCTGGGCACAGGGTCCCAGTCCGCAGGCCGGGCCAGGGAAGCTGGGAGCCTTTGAGAGACCGGCAGCAGGAAGACGCAAGTGCCTGTTGGGTCCTCCTTCGGCCAGGTGCCCACAGAGCCCCGGAAGCTCCCGGAAGAGGTGCTGGGACCGGAGTCCGAGGCGGGAGGCCTCGAGTTGCCCCGGGGTGGGCTCACAGGTCCCGCGGGTCTTCCCGTTTGACCCCGGCCTCAGCAACTTTGAACTTCTTATTCTGGTGCGTCTTGACATGTTTGGCGAGGTGGTCGCTGCGCATGAAGCGCTTGCCGCACTCCGGACAGGCGAAGCGCTTCTCGCCGGTATGAGTCCGCAGGTGCCGCTGCAGCTCGTCCGAGCGCGTGAAGCTCTTGCCGCAGAAGAGCCAGTTGCACACGAAGGGCCGCTCGCCCGTGTGCCAGCGCAGGTGTGCCTTCAGGTGCGACGTCTTGCCGTACACCTTGCCGCAGCCAGGCACGTGGCACACGTGCTGCTTCTTCTTGCCCGGCTCTGCCTCCGGGGCGCCGCCAGCCGCCTGGCAGTTGGGGCAGCGGCAGCGGCGGCACCTCCTGGCCGTGGCCGCCAGGGGGGCCTTGGTCTGCAGCAGCGCAGCGATCTGGCTCTGGTACTGCGCAAAGTCCGACGGGCCCAACACCAGGCCCCGTTGCAGGGCCGCGGCGGCTGCGGCGGCAGCAGCGGCCGCCGAGGCGGGAAAACGGGGTGCGTGGGGGCCCCCCGCACAGGCGCCGGCGAGGCTGCCCCCCGGAACCCCGGAAGTCCCCGGACCGGTGCCCGCCTGCGGGATACTCCACCAAGGGAGGTCGTCGGGGGCCGGGTTCGGGGACAGCTGGCGGCACGTGGGCGGCGGGGGCGGGGGCGGCGGGGGCAGCAAGTTGGAGTAGCCGGGAGGCAGCGCGGCCTGTGCAGGGTAGGGCACGTAGGCAGGCGCGCAGCTGGCGGGCAGCGCCGCCATGCTCGAGGGCAGCATCTTGACGGGTGAGAACTCGTAGGGATACGAGGGGTCGGCAGGGGGTGTGAGTGGCAGCTCGTGCGCCGCCCCGAAGGACGGCTGCAGGTGCGTTTTCTGCGGCGTCAGGCCCAGGCTGGGGTGCGGGGGCGGTAGCGCGCCCGGTGAGTGCGCCGGCATGTCTGCGGTCCAAGGGTGAAAGAGCCTGGAGGGCGAGCCCAGCGCGGGGTCGTAGGGCACCTGCAGGAAGTCCGGGGGCGCAGCGGCTCCGGGCTGGCCGATGCGGCTACAGGTGGCGGCTAGCAGCGCCAGGGGCGAGTGCTTGCCCAGGTCCGGGGAGGCGCTGGGGGTGCGGTCCTGCATGGCCGGCGGCGGGGGAGGGCGGAGAAGAGACAAAAGGTTAGCGCTTCAAGCGCTGTCTCCGGGCCGGCCCGCCACCCCCACGCCAGCTATTATACCGCCGCCCCTCCCCCGTCCCGGTGTCCCTCCCCCGCCACCGCACCCCACGCACGCACCCACCAGTACGGTTAACTTTTGGTGCCTGCGCTACCTGAACGCGGAGCGCTCGAGCGCTTCCTGTGAAACTACTTGGTGCAAAGAGACGCCATCCAGACTCAGAGAAAGCAGGCACAAGGTGGGAGGGAAGTGGGATCCGACGGGCCGCTCCCGGCTCCGCGGTCAGAAAGGGTGTGGAAACACCCACAGCCCAGCTGCCCATCCGCCCTCCCTCCCATCTTTTAAGCTCTTTCCACGCTACTCTCGCGCTCCTCCTCCGCCCACCCCAGGCTGAAAGTCAGCGGGAGGGCCCAACAGGGTGAGCTCGGGCCCTGTTTTCTGCCAGACGCGCAAGTCCGAACAACCCCCGGATCCGCGCGTCCCTCCCCCAAAGGCCACACTCTAGACACCAAGGTTAGGTGCGAAGTTGACGTGGGCCCCCCTCGGTCTGACTCTAGCGGCATCCCCCGAGCAGGGGTCCCTTTGAGATTCAGGGTGCCCAGAGTACCAGGATCGATCCGGACGCGACCCTTGCCACTTTTCCCTCGCTCCCTCCGAGCCCAGACCTGACCTGGAGGAAGGCCTGCAGAGAGTCGTTCCGGAGGACGGCCACGGCAGCCATAGCTACAGCTTGCGGGCCGTTGACTGCGGAGCAGGGCGCTGCCGAGGCATGGAGACCCGAAGGCGAGGACCAACGGCCGCCCAGCGTCCCTCCCCGGCGCCCTCTCTGCGCTCCGGGGCCCTCCCCGCCAGCGCCCCTCGTTGCACCCCGCTCGCTCGCCCCGCGCGCGGTCTGAGCGCTTCAGGATCACCTCCAAGAATTTGATAAGGACTTTGCTGGGCCGCCAGCCAGTCAGAGGGAAGATTTATGGCTTTGAAGTTTGCCGCTACCCAATCATCAAAGAATAGCGGCTCTTTCAGAAGCGAAAGCAAATCCTTTGAATCCACAAAGCTCCTATGGTGTGTTTGTTGGTCGGGATAAAAGAACTGATTATTAGGGGGGATGGGAAGGGAGGAGATAAAGGCGGGACAATTAATGAAGTAATCACTATGTGGGAAATGTATATACACAAATAATTGGATTTTCCTGATCAAAGGGGGCCTTGCTGCCTGGAGACCCGCGCTTGGGTTGCTGGAGACACTCGATCCTTCCCCCCCAACCCCACCCCCACCCCCCGCAACTCCCTTGCAATTAAAGATTTGCACCGAGGCAGCGCCCAAAGTGACAAAGTGTCTTTGTTATCTCCAGAGAAATCTGCCTTTGGCTTCCAGGCGCGGGACTTTGAGACTGAGATGAGGGTAATTCTCCCCTCCCCCCGTACTTACACACCCTACACGGGAACGGCACACGCAGTGGCCCGCAAACACCGCGGACCCGAGGGAATTCCCGGGGCGGGGCGTGGGACGCACCTCGCCCGGCGGGCCGCCTTCCCCCCCCGCCCCGCCCGCAGCGGTGGAGCTGCGGGCAGGGCTGTGACCCGGGGCGGGGCTGGGCAGCCGCCCATGGCGGCGGTGGGTGGCGCGCACGCTCCAGGGCCGCCTGCCTGACAAGTCACTGTGGCTCTTTTGTGACATTCCTGCTGGCGACCTGGAAGTTTTCTCCAGCCACAACTTTTGCAAATAGTGAGCCTGGGAAAAACACCCGTACCGCCTCTATCACCAAAGCTAGACTTGGCAGGACATCCAGAGCAAACCGTAATACACACCAGAGGAAAAAAGTGTGACGTTGCTCTTCTCTCTTCAGGCTGGCGCCCTGGACGCCGTGGACGGCCGGTCAGGCGGCTGACGGCTATTAGGCCCCCGAAGCCCCCGTCAGTGCTAGCAATTTCTCCCTCTAACCCCGTCCAGCGAGTGCGCGCTCTTTGCAAGCCGCACATACCTACCAGGGAACTACTTGGAAAAAGTAAGGCGCAGTCGAGGAAACCTTTTGTTTTGAACAAACCACACCACAGTAAGAGGAAGGCCCTTTAACCGGAAAGAAAAGTCAATAAAAACTGTTGTTCCCGTCACCTTTGGAAAGCAAAGAAAGTTTAGGCGCGTGGCGTGCGCCCCGGGTCAGGGAAACTCTCACCCCGAACCCTCGCCTGCCCGTATACCTGACCGCGGAGGGCCGGTCGGCCACCTGCTTCAGTCTGGCCAGGGCGCCAGGCGCGTCTCTCCGGATCGGTGCGAACGCCGGGATCTCCTCACTCGGGAGGGTCGGGCCGGGGAGAAGGAAGAGGCGGGCGTGGCGCCGCGGGGTCCTCCTGGCACTGAAGGGGTTTAGGGGCCGGAAGGGCCGCTGAGGCCTCCCGCCAACGGCCGTCGCTCACGTGGCCGAGCAACCGAGTGGGCCGCTTGGGCTTGGTGGACCCCGCTCCACGCCGGGCCTCCCCGCAGATGCGGTCTCCACTCTCCGACGCCGCGGGCTATGCGGGGCTCTTCGAGCCATGTTGCGTCCGGCCTTCTGGAGACCAAACCGCGGCCAGGACTGACTTGAGAGAACGGACCGTGTGGCCCAGCGCGCCGTGCGGCGCCAGCGGTCAACCCAACCTCAACCCCAACCCGCTTTTGATTCAGAGACTGAGCTGTATCTTGGTGCCCTCTGAATTCCCATCAGGGGTCGGGATGCTGCGCCACCAGACCCATATTTCCACATGCCCAGGATCTGCCAGAGAAATGGAAACATCCTGCTGAAGAAGAATGGGCCGCATGACGTCCAAATGCTAGGAGTAGTTCACAGGCATACCCCACCCACAAGGTGTAACCCCAGGAATGATGAGCAGTGACCACACTGCTCGCTCGGCCAAGGCTCCTGAAGATGAGGTCCGGGTGCTCTGGAAGCGGGGAAGGGAGGGGACTTAAAGTTTTGCTCTGATGCCTGGCAATCCTATCCCCTTCCACGCCCCATCCCTGGGTCGAGTGCGGGTGAAGCCTGGCACTTGAAGGCGCCCTTTCCCGGATGCCAGTTTGAGGCCAGGGAGTTCCGTGGCGCACACGCGCGCAGGCACACCTCCGAACTGTCCAAGCAGGTCTGGTACCTTAGCGTGCTTCCTTTGCCGCTCCTTTGAGCTCTTCAAACCCCGCTATCCCCGAGGGTCGGGCCAGGCTGGGCCAAACAGGCTGGAAAGCAGTCTCATTTGCCGAATATATTCTCTATTTTAACACAAACGCAAGAAAAGCCAGTTCACATCTGCGTAGTTGTTATAGGGGAGAACTTTTTCCTCCAAAATACCCCCATTAGCCAGTTAAACCACCACCAGCGGCCAGGAGACGAAAAGGAGTAGTGCTTGGTGGTTAAGAGGTCGGACTCAGAAAATCTGAACCCAGATTTTCTAGTTGACGCTTTTTAGTTGGTGACCTTGGCGAGCAAGTTACACAACCTCTTTGTGCCTCAGTTTCCCAATTGGTAAAATGGGGGTGATAGTAGTGCTCATCTTGTGGAGTGTTTGTACGCTTATAAGAGGTAATATAAGCAAAGTCTTTAGGGCGGTGGGGCACACAGTCGGCCCTCTCTTGACCCTTCGAAGTCCTTGCTGTCGGCCTCACCTCCATTTGTGAAAACCCGCCAGGATTGTAGTCCTTCCAAGCACGAGCTGAAGTTTGGAGAGAGACTTTTACGAGCTGCTGTTTAGCTTCCCTCCCTTTGCAGTCGGGCTCCTGAAAAACTTATTCTTAATGAAGTAATGTTCGAAGCGTCCATTAAAAATGCAATGCCGGGAGATCAAAGTACAATATTTATTTTAGAAATTTGTTGCAATCACCAAGAGATACAGGTATCAAGGCCAGATGTCAGTTCCGTTACACAAAGCCCCGCGCCCGGGAAGAGAGTGTGGCTGCTCTGCCATAATGTAAAGAAACATCAAAGACCAAGCGCGCTGCAAAAGTGCGCAGCCGGGAGGGAAGGAGTGAGCCCGGGAGGCCCGGGCGCGCCCCAGACAGCGAGGGGGCTGTGGGGGCTGCGGGGGCTGCGGGGGCGGGGGTCAGTTCAAAGAGGTATCCGCTGGGGCGCGAGTTCACAGGAGGGAAGATTTAATGGGCTTTCTTTTGTTGGTGGGTGTGTTTGTGCACAGAGGACCCACGAACTCCTCTGTGGTCCTCCAGCAGGAGGGCGGAGGTGGAGGGGCGGGGAGCGGCGAATAGGGAGCAAACTTTTACCGTGGCGTGGCGGGGGCGGGGGGGGCGGGGAGGATGAATACCAGCCTCCCCGCGGCGGCTGGCGCGGCAGTGCGGCTCGCCAAGCTGCAGGGCTCCGAGGCCGGGAAGTTCGCAGCGCAGTTTCTTCCCGGGAGGGCTGCGAGCGCCGACCAGGTGCCACCAGCGAGAAGAGGCGGCGGGTAGGTGAACCCGCAGAGGCATTCGCACCGTATGCGGATCCGCTCGGCGCCCTCCAGATCCATTCCAGAAAAAAAAGTGTTTGCTGAGCACTCTGGGTTGTTACTTCACGCCCAAGTCTGGTACCTCCTCGCCTCGGGCATTTTTTTTGCAACAACCGGGGACTTACGCCTCTGGAATCAACCCAATCGGTCACCCATCTCCAGTTGATTTTTTAAAAATTTATGCATTATTTAGGTCGTTTCAACAAATTCTTAATTCATTGGCTCTTTTACAGCAGGGTGTTGCTTAACTACCAAGATCTTTCCCTTCTTTTCCCACCCCCTCCCCGACCCCCGCGTTGCTCGCTAAAGGCTCAACCTTCCAATTGCCCGTATCTACCTAGTTCATGCCATTACCAGTCGTTGCTTTATTAAAGGTGCTGGGAGGGGTGGGGTCAGCGTTTCCCTCGTGCTAATGGGGCACTGAGTCGCAGGAGGATGCCTTGTGCATTTCTTCAGTCATCTACAACCAAGTATTCTTAGAACAGTCCCTCGGCAGCCTTTTGAAGTCGTGCTAGAGCAGAAAGCTGCTATTGTTTTCAGCTCTCAACATGGAAGGGATCAAACTTTGCCTCTTCAATTTGAAATGTTTTGGCCTTTTTTTTTTTTTTTAATGGTGGTGGGGGAAGGGGTTGCAATCTGATACTCTCTAAGTTAACTTTGAGGATTTGGAGAGGTCTCACAGTTTAAGCTGCAGACCAAATCACAGACGCTCTAAAGCTTGCGTCTGAAACGGGCTCAATCACTAACACAGAGGAATGCGCTCAGTCGCAAGAAATTATGATGTTGGGAATCTTTGGAAAACACTGTCTTAGTTTGGGAAAGTTTGGAAATCTTGTGTTAACTTTAAGCTTAAACTTCAAAATTGGATCAGTATATAATGGATGAACGAGTGGAATTCTAGGAGGGGTCCTTGATCTCCTCCAATTCCACTCCCTCAGTTGATGGCAGGAGGAGACTGCATTTACATCATATATCATGCCTGCCCAGTGCTATGAACTTCAGTAGCTGTTCAATAAATGCTCACTGGTGTTGGATGGTAGAATGGAATTGTGTGTACCAATGTCATTTGCATAGTGTTTGGTGTCACAGAGCACACAAATACAGTAGGGACTCAGAGGAGAACACTGGTGAGGGCTGGAGTAGTTAAGGGAGGCTTATTAAGGAGCTGGGGTTTGGAGGAGCCTTTAAGGACCTATGGAATTTTAATGGGGTGCATAGAAAGGAAGACAATGGGGGGGAAGGATAGGAAGGGAAGAGAATTCCT